TTTGACCGGTCCATATCACTTGATTGATAAGCTTGTCTAATTACCAGTGACATGGATGAGGATTTAGCCCATAGCTTCAGTCAGAGAATATAAGGTGGGTGGATATAAGAGAGATGAGAGGATTATTGATTGTATTTTGTTATATGCTTTGATAATATGAAATTTGTTTGAATACCATGAATTAGCAATTGTCTTACTTGACACATCACGAGCACTTACTTGTATGGTTGATAAGTAGGATTGTTGGTTACTGAGACTTTTGTCTCACCCTATTGATTTAACTTTTTTCCAGTTGATAGTTTCTGTTCGGGTCAGTCAGGGAAGGCTCCGAAAGCTTGAGCTACTACTGTAAAATAGTAGTGCTTCCACCTTTTTGATTGTGTTGAGTTGATGTATATTGTCATAGTAGGGCACATTTCATATATTTTGATATGTTTGAGATTGATTACTTTGACATTGTATTTTTAATAATTGTTGTTGGATTGCATGCTGGTAGAAGGCCGAATGCCTCTAAGTACTTGCATGTGATTTTTTTGATATGAGTTGTGGATCTACAACAATCTTGGACATCAGATGACTTTTGATTTTAAAAAATTATGAAAGGTATTATTCAGTAAAATCATGTTATGGGCTTATGATTGAAAATGACACTCTAGGCTTATAATGCCCAAAACCCTATTCATTGTGAATCTCGATTTGCACGAAGGTGATTCAGAAGGACTCTTTTAACCATGATAGATATATTTATATATTGGTTTAATTCTTTTCTATCATAGTTAATCTCATGTGATTTCGAATGTTTATATAACCATGATAGTATTTTTTAAATGTTTTACAAAGTTTTTTTCCCTATCATGGTTAACTTTTCAATATTAATTAATTTAAAAGTGTAGTAGTTCGTTGTTACATTTTTTTTTTATCAAGTCCTTATAATTTTATTAAATTTTTAATCAGCTCAATGTAGTTTTAATTTTTATTTATTAATTAAATATAAACTTAATTAAATAGATTAATACTGAAATATAAAATATTGATAATAAAATTAAATTAACAATTATATAATAAAAAATAAGTAATATAATTAATTAATTCAGGAATTTTTTTAGAACAATTAATATTTTCTTGCTGGCAAAAAATAAAATTATTACAATAATTCATTATTTTTAGAATATTATTGCTTATAAGCTAATATTAAATAGGGAAAATATATCTGCAGGTCATTATAGTTTCACACAATTTTTAATTATGCCTCTGAGCTTTTTTTTTTTTTTAATCCTTATTGTTTTAATCGTTTGTGACATTAATCCTTACTATTAATTTAAAACTAACAGAACCCTGACGTTGTTTATTTGGAGGGAGGTGGCTGATATTACTCTGTTTACTAGGCATTGGAAGTAAGATGCATCGACGTGGATCGCCATTGTGAGGAAGGAGGAAGAGAATGTTGTCGGTTTGCTGTAGTGAAGAATGGGGATAGAAGGTCGTTGACTTGTCGTCACGCTCGTATTTACTTCTCATTCTTTGAACTCGCCATCAAATAGGTAAGGGATCTGGTTCTTCTTCCTCTCAATGGCTTTTGATTCTTCAAATTTGGATTCTTCTCATTTTTTGAAAACACTTTCTAAGTACCTAATCGAAAGATCTAAGTACATTTGTGTTGCTCAAAGTTTTGATCGGGATCGAATGATAGGATTGTATCAGATTTGGTATTGCTTCTGACTCTTCTCAATCTTCCTGTGCAGATAAAAAAAGGTCTCAAACTGAATGTGGGGATCTATTGCTATTTAATCGATTGGTGCTTGCTTGGGTTTGATTTGAGGGTCATGATAGTTTTCTTTTTGTTTTTTTTTTTTTTTGTTGATTCGAGATCATTTAGTGCTTCTTTTTTACCACAGAGATGTGATTAACTAGGCATATATGTTGCAGCTTTACCAAGTTTCCTACCTGTATAAGTAAGATAAAAATAATAAAAATCACTTGTGCTTAAATTATTAGCAACTAAGCTCACTGATTTTGCACTTAAATTATCAAAAACCAAGCACCAAGCTTCCTACACAAAACAAAGCACATTACACATTCAAAACTATCACTGCAGTCAAATTGAGAAATTGGAATAAAATTGTGTTTAATTCCACAAAATAATTTTCCCTAAAATCAACTTTGAGTTGTCAAATTGAGCGTCTTTGTAGTAAAAAAGAAGCAATAAAAAATTTTAATTTAGCAAGTAAAACTATCACAGTTATAGACCCTCAAACAAAACCCAAGCAAGCATCAACCAATTAAAAAGCAATAAACCCCCCACATTCGGTTTGAAACATTTTTATCTACGCAGGAAGAGTGAGGAGTCAAAACAAGGCCCAAATATGATGCAATCATCCTGTCCAATGCCAATCAAAACTTTGAGCAACTCGAATCTATTTATGTCTCTTGCTTAAGTGCCCAGAAAGTGTTTTCAAAGAATAAGAAGAATAAGAAGAATCTAATTTAAAGAATCAAAAGCCAGCAAGAGGAAGAAGAACAAGATCACTTACCTATTCGATAGCGAGAAGCCAATGGGTTTGGCAACCGATCGACAACCTTCTCTTCCTCCTTACTCACGAATCCACGTTGTGTGGAACCAGATCGTTTGTTTCCCCCCCAATATTGTGCCCCGTACGCAGAGCCATTAGCCACCTCCCTACAAATAAACAGTGTAGCACTGTCAGTCCTAAATTAACGGGAAGGACTGACGTCACAGACTAAACAAATAATAAGGATTCAATAAAAAAAAAAGTTGAGGGATCTAATTAAAAATGGGATAAAACTACAAAGACCTGCATATATATATTTTCCCTATTAAATAATATATACTATTTTATATTAATAGAATAATATTATTAGAATTTATAAAATAAAGAATAAAAATCCAGGGACTTAATTAAAAATAAAGTGAACTTATAAGAATTTGATAAGAAAAAATAGATACAAAGACCTAATTAAAAATAGGTGAAAGTATAAGGACTTGATAAAAAAAAACTATAAGGACTTAATTCAAAACAAGTTAAAACTATAAGGACTTACGGATAATTTTCTCTAATTTTTATAACGAAATTGACAACGTTGATATATGGATTAGGCTGCGTTTGCCGTAATTCGTATTAATAAATTTTTTAAAAATAAAAATATAATAATGTGATTTTCTATACTTTTTTAGATTTGATATTAATATTTTACATGATTATATTATATCGAGTACTACTATTGATGGTCTTAATTATAAGATATCGTTTATAGGTTATAAATGAGATCTTATAATTAAGACTGAGAAGCAATATTATATTATCTCTTATCCTTAATATAAAAGCTAATTCGATTTTTATTTTAATCCCAAATATAAGAGTCTAATTCACTTTGTTTTTTTATATTTATTCAATTTTTGTAGATAGTCCTTCTAATAACAGGAGTTCTAACCAATAAACTTGATTAGTAAGAGCATTTTAGGAAAACAACATTTATTTATTATAAATAATTAACTTATTTTTTTTAATTTATTCAAATTATTCAACTAGTTCTTATATTTAAAACAAGAGGTCAAGAGGCAGTATCATATTTGAATATTTTTATCTCCATAGGAGGTAACCTTGTCAACGTAATTGTTGTAGGCTGTGTTTGGCATCGCGTTTCATGGCCTAAATGTACGTCTCCGGTAAAAGCTACTTTTGAGATTTTTGAAGTTGTTTGGATTGACTTCTTTTTGTGATGGGTTTACGGGATCTAATGAGCTGTTGGGAAGAAGCTACTTTTTTTTGCTTCTGGAGTGATGAGCGGTTGGGAGCGAGGGACGGTGGGGTGTGCAGGAGAGAAAAAAAGAAGAAAGAGAAGAGATGATGATACTGGACATGAACAGTTTTTTTTTTTGACATTCACATGTTGTAAAAGTGGAACAATAAATTAAGAATAATATTTTTTTAGTAAATACTGAACATAAATTATCGCAAAAGTAAATACTAACGTAAAATTGGAAAAAAAAATGAAGAACCATGCTATTTTTTCATTTATTTACTTTTTTTTTTTTGTAAAAAAAGATATCTTTTTGTTGTGGGCTTCTGGGAGAAGTAAACTTTCAGTGCGTTTTGGGGTGCCGTGGGCGGTGAAAGAAACCGTTGGAAAATTTATGGCTGTGTTAAAATTTTTTACCCACCTGACCCTCACCCCTGCATGAATATTCTCTCATCTCAATAATAAAACAAAATCACAAGTTCACAACACACACACTCCTCCGTTGGAAAATTGTCACATTATATATATAATTCCTTTATAACAATAAATTAAATTTTCTTATTTTTAATAATTTTATTTTCAGTACTTTTTTTAAAATGGCCACATTATACATATAATTTTTTTTCTAATAATAAATTAAATTTATTTACTTTTAATAATTTTATTTTCCTTCTTAAAAAATAGTCACATATATATATATATCTAATATTAGATATATACTATTTAATAAAATTCATGTCCTTTTAAGTCATTTTACATCCAAACTTACTTTTATATTTATCATCCAAATAAGTTTCAGCTTTTCAAACTGACTTTTTTTCAAAATCCAATCCAAACATAAATCACATTACCCTATCTAACTTTTATCCAATCTGACTTCTGTAAAAGTCAGATTGAAAAAAAAATTACTTTTCCACGGTTAATCCAAACACACCGGTTAATCTACAAGATAAAGCCAACGCGCTTCACGTCAGAATACCAACCGGTACAAGCTAACGCGTTTTTATTCATAGACCGCATTATTTTGTTTTTCCCGAGAAGGTTCGGCCTCGTATGCTTTTCGGATTTAACGATTTCTTGGCACGGTTCACAAAATCAAAATCAAGATCAAAATCTTCTCAAAATTTCTCTCCCGTTTTCAATTGACATCGCTCTCTGTTTCTTCTGCTCTTACGGTTGTTCTCTGTACTCACAGCTCTCATTCAAACTTTCCGAACAAGAGGACCTAAGAGAAGAAATAAATGAAGAGGGTTTTCGGTGTGAAGAAGAATAAGGAGCCCCCTCCTTCAGTTCAGGACGCATCTGATCGGGTTAGTCTTTCATCCGTTTTGAACAAATTATGTTCACTCTGAAAGTTTATTTTTCCCCTTATGTTTATTGGGTCTCCTTCTTATTTGCGGTTGTTTAGGTGATTGGAAAATATTCAAATTTGAGAACTCGTGGGTGTGTAATTTTTGGGTTTTAACTTGGCCATGGATATTAACTGTGGAGTATTAGATCGTATACTGAGATTGAAGTCATTGATGTTGAATTTTTCTTGCTACCTTGATTTTTGCCGTCCATTAAATTTTAGCTTGCACTGCTCATCTGGAATTATGTATTAAGGTTATAATTATGGTTAATATTTTATCAAAAAAGTTTTTTTGTTTTTTTTTGGTGGTAAGAAGAGGGGATTGGAATGTCATGGATGTAGATGGATTAATATTAACAACATAATAGTCACAATGCCATAAGATGGATGCTCCATTTGGTAGCTGCTCGGATGCGTTAAAATTTGACTTCTGGTCTATTAGCCTCGAAATTGTCTGGCCCCCATATAGAAGAATTGATAGTTATTCTTTTTAACAACGGATTAAGTTTTTACGCCCTGTTGTTCCTCGGTTATGATGCCCCGCTTTAAGGACTAAATTAACTGCTCCATAGTGCATGATAAACATGGTCCTTTCCTCTTCTCTCTTTTCTGTCTTCCTGGGCCTTTTAAATGCACCTTACACTCTAGCTGGACTTGATGCAGACTGAAAATTAAGTGACAAGTCCCCAACTCACCGTTTTTACTGAAAATGTAAAAACAAATAATTTGAGAAAAATATTAACTTTGTATCCAACATTTATGACATCGTAATGGTAAGTTGTTTATTTAATGTTTATAGACATCTAATTCATATTAAATATCTGTTCTGACTTCATAAACCATGAATAATTAACTTAATGTTGTGGCTTGCAACTCTAAGAATTTATATTTTACTCGTATTGAAAATTAATTTTGATTTAGGCTAGGTGCCTAAGCTGTTTTTGCTGTTCCTGCTTTCCCTTTTTGTTTGTTTTGTTACACTCTTTTACACACACACACACACACACACACACACACACACACACATGTATATTTCCTTTTTAATATAGATCTGCTATCATGCTGCTGTTAGTAGTCAGTTGGTTCCATTGCTTGAATTTCTGTTCTGCTGAATGTAAATTGGTGATTCAAATGATCTTTTTTCACTTTTGCCTAAAGTATTCTGCATATTCCAGATTACGAAAAGAGGTGATACAGTTGACGAAAAGATACAGAAGCTCGATGCTGAACTTAGCAGATACAAAGAACAAATTAAAAAAACAAGGCCTGGTCCTGCACAGGAAGCAATCAAAGCTAGAGCAATGAGAGTTCTTAAGCAAAAGCGAATGTAAGTTTGTTAGTCCATATTTACTTACTCTGTCTGTTGTAGTTTTATTAGAAAGTTGATTTAACCAACTGATATATCTAGACGGGATAATGTATTTTCTCACATTCTTAAGGAACGGGATATGTTTTCCATTGAATATATGGCAGCTTGAGAAAAAATATGGTAACTGTATTACCCTAGTTAACACAACTAAGCTTTGTATGCTGTATACCCTTACCTTATGAATTGTCACTGATGGGTTCAACTTGACATAAGTTCTATTACCATTCACTTTCTGCTGTATTTACCATGTGGCTGTATATTCAAGCTCAGCGATTCCTTTGTTGTTCTTTGTTTCTGATTCGTAGGTTGTAAATTCCACATGATGAAAATATAGTGCTTTTCAATTTTTCATTACTTTCCCTTGGATATTGTGTCTTTATGATATTTTGATCGAGAACCCATAGTGTTCTGTGCCCACAGGCTAAGTCAGCGTTGTTAGATCCTTTATAAGTTGTTAGGATATTCCTGTTTTTATTTGTCGAATTGAATAAATCTAAGTATGCTTGAATGGTATCATTTGCTGCAGAGGGTACTAAAGATGTTATGTGTCTGATCATTCGATAAACTGTTAATTCACCACTTTTTGATAGGTATGAAGGGCAGCGTGACATGCTGTATAATCAGACATTTAATCTAGATCAGGTTTCATTTGCTGCAGAGGGTATTAAAGATGCTCAACAAACCGTGAGTCCTTTTTCATTTCTAATTTTGTTGTTGAATTATTGATGTTCATATATCTGGGTGTATTACACGGTATATCAAGGCAAACTTTTATTTGTAACTTATACGGAACCTGACTGCCTCATGAGAGGTTCGAGACATTATTTATAATTAACAAGGGCCTCGTTATAGATACATGATTGTTTGGTACCTGGGACTCCTTTTAGATTAATTATAATATAATGTGCATTCCATTTATGACAAACCATTTATTAAAGGTTTTTCTCCTCTTTTGGGCTCCTTTTCTCTTTTCAGATGTCAGCCCTGAAGTCTGCCAACAAGGAATTGAAGGGAATGATGAAAACTGTGAAGATACAAGACATTGACGTCTGGACTCTCTTCCTTTCTCTTATAGCTTCTGTCTGTCTATTTCCAAAATGTTTTGGTCTAAATTGTTGATTTTTGCTGAATGCAGAATTTGCAAGATGAGATGATGGACCTGATGGATGTAAGTAATGAAATACAAGAGACCTTAGGCAGAAGTTATAACGTGCCTGATGACATTGATGAAGACGATCTCATGGGTGGTAAGTTACAAGGTTATCTAAACTTAGTTGATGTCAATGAGCTTTAGCTAATATTTTATTGCACCTTTTCCACTGTATATCGCTGGTATGATATCAGTCAACTGGTTTGTTAGAAACATTATTGAACAAGTAAAAAGTAATTGCCCTGAAAATGTTTGATTTCCATGTTTCAAGGACCTAGGTCGAAAGTCAAAACATTTTATTTGTGATGTGTGCAATGTTTTGAGCAATTTAGTTTCAGCTTGTAGGATGTGATCTTCTCTATTTGGTGGCTTAGATGCATTATTGGGTTCAACTTCTAGGGGACGTGTAGATCCATTACGTTTTAGGATAGTACAATCTTATCCTTTACTATTTAGCATCTTAAAATATTTGTTTCCTTGTTTTTTCTGATTTTGGTGTTCAGAACTTGACGCACTGGAAGCAGACATGGGACATGAGACTGAGATGGATGGAGTTCCTTCTTACCTCCAGCCAGATAAGGAACCTGATTTGGAGGCAGAGCTTAACTTGCCTTCTGCTCCCACAGGACATACGGCAGCACCACCTGGCAGATCCAATGTTCAAGTATGATTTCCTTGCGTAATTGTTATTACTTTGGTGTTCTTTTAAAAGCCATACTTAAATGAGGTTTTAAAAGAACCTTATCATGTTCTCATTGCAAAAGATCTTGCGAATAAGCAAGTTCTTTCTTTAAACATCGTCTGGTTGGCTGCAACTCTATCATAGTTCTATACTGATCAGAGTCCCCTAATTGTGATGAAAATACATTGACTGAAGTGCGGCAGTACGAGAATGAATAATATTGATGATGAGCTCAACATGAGAAATTGAGGAAACTTAGTTGTTACTGTCTTGATATGATAAGTTTGACTTAGTAGGTTGAGGCAATTTGGTCAAATTTGACTGGAAGTTCTAATGAAAGAGTGGGGCTTTGGATTCTAAAGAAGGCTAGGAAGGGTTAATAGTCAAATACGTTAATTGAGGGCTTATAGCGTCCAAGATAACTGGACTTGATTTTGACATATTTTGGAGCCTGGCAATCAAGTATAGGATCATGTTAAGCAAATCACACGATCTGTGGACCAAATTGTATATCTATATGGAAGTTTGATCGCTGCAGAAATATTTCTGTTTCGATGATCAAATCTGCATACTTTATGCATGCTTTGAGGTCGCAATACTTATGCTCCAGTTTCTTAGGGGCATTGCTAATAGGAATATGAAGCACTATAGTTTAGTACCATGCGGCCCTTGAAGAGTGTAGTTTTCCCCCAGCCATGCCTTGAAGAGTGTGGTTGATTCTAAACTTTTTGTGGGATGCTCATGTTATTTTCTTGAGTAATATAAGGATGTTTCTTAACAATGCTTGGTTCTCCGGACAAGAGTAGAACATGAGCATCCCACAACAATGTTATATCTCATCCTCATGGTCTATGTTTTGTGGGAAACGGAATAAATCATAATCTTTATTATTATTATTTTTCTTTGTTAATGCTAATCTGTATAAGCATACCCTCTGGCCTAGTTGCTGGTAGTGAGGTGTTTCTGTAAACATAAAACTGAAAACTACTTAAAGAACTTAACCTAGGATTCTTCCAGACTCGCTTTATGTTTGCGTGGTTATTCTTTTCTTGAGTGTACTGAATATTTTTCTGTAACTTGATTGGTTGCTGTTGATGCTGACAGGCTGAGGATGAATTGGGTTTACCTGCTGTCCCACGGGCATCCTTACGGGGTTAGGGTAACCCTTTCATTGGGATAACTGGTGTGGACACGATTTAGAGTACCAGACCATTTCATGATGTGCATATATTGACTACTTCAATTTATATGGTGATTGGACTGGTCCGTTGCTGGGATTATTTGATGAAAATAGAAATTTTGTGTATGTTCTTGAAGTGTTCCCTATCAAGGCTTTGGGTAGGATTATGTCTTGGCATTCGAAAGACACGTGTATTATATTTTTTTATTGAATTTGATGGTGAATATTTGAAGCGCCTTGTCCTAACCATATAGGGTCCGTTTGGGACCATGTTTGGGCCCCCAAACGTGCGTCCCAATCTGGCTTTTAAGTTTTATATGTTTGGATCTGCGGCGGGGCTATCTGACTTCTGTCACTGAAACGGACTTATACAATAAGCTCAAAAAAGCTGCTTTTCTCCAATCTGACTTCTGTAAAAGTCATATTGAAAAAAAAGTTACTTCTCCACTGCTAATCCAAAAACACCCATAGTAGGTAGTCTCTTTCTAGTGCCCACCCCTCTAAATTAAAAAAAAATTACTTGGAAAACACCAAAAACAGTTAAAAGATATTTTTACGTAAATTGAGACTATTTTTTTATATATTTATCTTGTAAACTGTAAAATTACTTTTAAATAGTAAAGTGGATCATTACAGAACTGATGCACCGCAGAGTAGTTGGCCAAAAAAAAAAAAAACCCAGAGCAAGATTCTTCGTTCCTGTATAGATTACCAGCACAGGAAACAGTGTTCTGGTATAATGCGATATAACAAGGATGTTAAGTACTTCCTGAACGAAAGAGAAGAAATATAAAACGACAAAAGAGATTAACTCAGTGTAACAATTTCTCAATTAGCTAAGCAAACATTACACTGGGTTTGTAAGCTGCACTGAAGCTTTTTATGCAGTACAATTAGAAGATTTCTACTTTCTTTTTCGTTGCCGAAAGTGCGATTACAGTTAGAAGATTGGGACTATAATTATAATTACAATTACATGCGGATATTTGTCTATCAAATTCAAACCCTATATGCTCATTTCAATCCCGGAATATGACATCATCGGCAAGATCCATCAACAACGGCAAACACTCCGGCGAGAATTTCCTCGCGAAGAAGTATGAATAGCTGGAGTTCGATACTCTTAATTGGTGAACAAGCTTCGGCGATACCTCCAGCGGGGTGTAGCGATGCGGGTGCCCATCCCAACAACCCGTCCAGTTCACTCTCGTCAGTGTGAATCCGGTACACCCGTCCGGATCCTCCATGGACAGAAGCGTCGGAAAGTAGTGCTCCTCTGGGTAACACGGTTCTTCACTCACACAAGGAAGCTTGAACTTCCTCCACAGCCTCCGATCCTTGACCACCAGCGCTGCGTGCCGCCTCGTAAACACGAAGAACTGAGATCCGACCCGGAAGTCCTCGAACGGTACCTCCGGTAGCATCGCGTTCACGCCACGAGCCGTATATCGTTCGAAGAGATTGGGTTCATCACAGAGAATCTCGATGAAGCTTTTGTACTGAGATTGCTCTGGTGAACCCCACATCATGAAAGAGGTTAAGGATGATGGACTCTTGAACAGGTAATCGTACATGAAACGGAAGGAATGGATAGGGATACAATGCTGCGATACGAGAGCGAAATATTGGTTTGATGTGTCATTGACGAGAGCGGCAGCGAGGAGACGACGAGCTGCGGAGATGAGCGTCGCCGACGCGCGATATGTCTTCTTCGACGGGATGAATCTGTTACGGAAGACACCGCCGGGACGAATCATAGCAACAGATGGATCCGAGTGGATGTATATGTTGAAGAGATCGTGGTTTCCTTCGAAGAATTTTTCCCATAAGGGAGCGAAGGAGAGATTTGAGTTGGTCAGGAAGAGGAATGCGATTTTGGGTTTTGGTTTAGAGGTGGTGAAGACGCTTGAGCGAGAGATCCCAGAAGCGGGATAAACACCGCCGGCGGCAGCGGCGGCGTAGGGTCCACGAAGGAGAGGGAGACTGTTGATATCGCCGACGGCGAGGTCGGAGAGAGAGCGGTTACCCCGGTATTGTGGGGCAAGAACGAAGAAAAAAGGGACAGAGAGGAACAGAGAGTAGAAAACAATGGAGGGAAATGATAACATCAGGAATGAATAATTCCGAAGCAGAAGGCAAACAAAAGTGAAAATTGTGGCGAGAAGGATCTGGTAAGAACGAAAGATTAGAGATTTTTAATTTTTGGTTTTCATTACGATGAAATGGATTAGAGGAAGAAGCCAAAAAGCAAGTGAGAAGAAAGGAGAGAAGGGTTCTTCTGGTTCTGAGAATTTCGATGAAGAAGAAGAGAGAAAGGGAAGGAACGGTGAGTGAGTGAAAACGAAGTGAGTGGCGAGTGAGTGGATTGGTGCCTCACGAAAAACGAGAGATGCAAATAGCGGGCTGTTAGTTTAAGACTATTTCAAGCCTTTATTATTAGTCACTAGCAGTCATGCTTTTTGGGAGGAAAAGAAAAAGTAATATTCCTCCTGTTCTTATTATAAGACTCAATTTGACTTTTTATTTGGTCTTAAATATAAGACCCAATCTATTTTATCTCTTATATTTATGTACTCCTCCGGTCCTTATTATAAGACTCAATTTGACTTTTTATTTGGTCTTAATTATAAGACCCAATCCATTTTGTCTCTTATATTTATACATTTTTTTCCAAGATAATCCTTCTAATAATGATAGTTTTAGCCAATATACTTAATTAGCAAGGATATTTTAGAAATGACAACACTTATTTATTATAAATAACCAACTTAACTTACTTCCTTAATCTCCTCAAATAAGTCAATTGGGTCTTATAATTAGGACCGGAGGAGTATTTTTTTCCAAGATAATCCTTCTAATAATGATAGTTTTAGCCAATATACTTAATTAGCAAGGATATTTTAGGAATGACAACACTTATTTATTATAAATAACCAACTTAACTTACTTCCTTAATCTCCTCAAATAAGTCAATTGGGTCTTATAATTAGGACCGGAGGAGTACAAAATTTAAAGAAATTAAATGTTATGAATTATTTTTGTGCACTAAAAGTGGTGTGTACTTTGACTAAAATATCCTCAACTAAGGAATAACGAAGTTTGGCCGCACCAACAAAATTAGTGATCCTAATCCTGAGCTTATCTATTTTTACTTTAGCAGGTAAAATTGTTCAAAGAAGCATTAAATGTTATTAGGCCTCTAATAAATGACCACATTAATTGTTACGTAGAAAAGAAGAAGATGAGAAGTTAAAATGGGTAATTTCTTCTTTGGCCACCTAAACTCAGTGATTTTACCAGCTAAACTTTTATAATTTCTTTTATTTTATATTAACATTAATTAGGGTTTCAAGATTTCTATATGGGCTAGTATAAAATATCAAGGGCCTCTAATATTTTGGATTGGCTCTCGAGACGCACCACTAAGGTTTTGGATTCATGTTAGACTCTTAATACAACAACTGGTACTTAATATAAAAATTAGTTTAATATTCAATTCGATCATTATATAAAATTCTGATTTATTTTATCTATTATATTTATTTATTTTTTTTAATGTGGTCTTTATAATAGTTATATATGTTAAAAATTTCATCAAATAATAGTTCTAGCTAATACACATAATTAACAAAGATATTTTAGAAAAAATAACACTTATTTATTATAAATAACTGTTTAACTAATTTTTTTAATCACTCAAATTAATCAACTAACTCTTATATTGACAACATGATATCGTAATTTATTTGCATGATGATGACAGAAAAAACGTGTTATTCAAGAATTTCCTTGCCTCATTATTTTAGATTTCTTCCACAGGCGTCACATTTTAAAATTGTAGTCTTAAAATAATTTTCTTAAAATGAAAAACCGAATTTTGGTCCTTGCCCTCCTAAAAACTAAATTTTGATACTGCCCTTCCAAAACCTTAGATTCCCCACCCCAAAATCCACTCTTCATTCTCATTTTATTTTATTTTTTTCCATAACTCTTACTTAAAAATCTTCATCATCATCTATCTCTTGGTCAAAAGGCGAAGGGTGATTAAGAATGTAAAAATTTCCTATAATACTATAAGTAAGTTTGGCCACATAATCAATCACACTAAGAATGCAAAAATCTTCATCATCTCGCTTATAATCTCATATTATTGATACCTGTCTCTCCAATCAAAATTTTTTTTAGATTCTTTCCCAGTTTCTTGGACCTATAATTTAATTGAGTGTACGCTATGTATGTGTGTGCATATTGTTGTTATTTTTTTAGTACAATTTAGTTGTTGTTATTATTAATATTAACTAGTTTTTATTTTTCCACACATAAGTATTCTCCTATGACAGAAAATCTTATTTGAAGCATTGTCATTTGTCGAGTTAGGAGTGAGCATTCAGTTTTTTGGTTCGGTTATTGGTAATAACCGAATTAACTGAATAATCGAATAGAGTAAATTTTAAATACCGAACCGAAACCAAATTAAACGAAATATTTCAGTTCAGTTAACCAATTAACCGAAATATATAAACATAAAAAATGATTTTAAATTAAAAATAATAATTAAACACAATTATAACCATTAATTAATAAATATTTCATCATTCAATGTGATTTATTATAATAATATTTATTATAACCATATTTATTGAATATAAATATATTTAAAGAGTTCACATAAACCCACATATATATTTATTATAATAATATTTATTAAATATAAATGTATAATATATTTATTTTGGCTTTTCGGTTATAATCGAAATTTTTTTCAACCAAAACCAAATTGTTAAAAAAAAAAAAACTGAATATGTAACCAAAAACAGAAAGAACCGAACCGAAAAACTAAAATTGAATTCAGTTTGATTTGGTTTTCGGTTACGGTTCGGTTTTGCTCGCCTCTAGTCGAGTACTAAATATGAATATTTTTGTCGGGCAGAAATTTAAATCTTATTTTACCACATTATTTGAGCCAAGAGTCGGGGCCCAGGCCCAAAATCAGACTGTTCTGGCATCCAGCTGCCCCAGTCTCGCAAACTCTCGGTCGCCGCCCTCTCGCCCGTCGGTCGGAGTGATTCGAAAGCTCGAATGAAAAGTACAGTGTCAGCTTCTTTCGGCTAATCTCTGCCGTGGTCAGAACTTGGAATAGAAGTTTGTGGCAAGTATTACTGAGGCAGAATAACAGAAGGAAGAACCCTTTTTTCCTGCTTGTAATTGTACTGTCGCAATTTTTTCTCAGTTGTGTTATTGTAAGTTTCACCACCATGTGGAGGTCACCACGAATCTCTTGTATCGTGAGTATCTTCATGTTTATCATGCTTCATCTTATCGCTTTATTCCCATTATTCAGTCTGTAGCAGTATCTCTTCCTTTCTAATTTCTCGCAGGGTGTGGTTTAAGCTATAGTTTGTTAATTTTTCAGTTTGGTAGATTGAATCAGCTCAAATTAACCAGTAACCTCATGGACCATGCCTTGTACTCTAACGTGGCTCAGCCTCTAGTCTCGACTGCTGCGGCAGATTCCATGTCCATACAGGTGTATGTCTTACTGCTTGTGCAATCAATTACTGATAGATGTTCTGTATTTTCTCTCTCTTTCTCGGCTTCCATCCTTTTCTTCCTTTTAGAATTTTGCGAGGACGCAGTAATGTGAGTATCATGCACATTCATGTTCTAAATATATGTGGACTTCACGTTATATGATTTAAGTCTACGGGGAATGAATCTTCTAATCTCAAAGCAAGTTTATAGTTTCAGATGACTTCTACTTCCCACCCATGTTGATGCGGTAATATGCTCATGGACCAATTGCGCTATAATTTATTGGTCTAATTACTATCTTTAACTTTCTGTTTGCCTACTTCAAATGCATTTTCATTTGTTTGTCGAGCCAAGAGCACGTTATGGTAATTGGATGTAGAAATTTTTCTAAAATCATGGAGCAAAAAACATACTTGTTCCTATGAAGTTCTCAATTTCTGGTAATTTCATTTGTGAGGGAAGCTGTCTCTTGACTGACTGATTGGTTAATTGATTTTGTGGGTCCAATGTGCCTCACGGTCACAGATAAACCATTCTCCTCAGCAGAAAACTGGAGAGACACAAAAGCATCTTATTGGGGAAAATGTACCTAAAAGAGATAAGATCAATTTTCTCACGACAACAGTAAGTACAAATGTGTACGGTTAACAAGTACCACGTATACTTAACAAGATGATGTGTTGATTTAAACCAAATCATGCAGCTTCTCAATCTCAATGACAGTAAGGAGGCCGTTTATGGTGCTCTGGATGCCTGGGTTGCCTGGGAGAACAAGTTCCCCATGGTTGCATTGAAAAGGACGTTGATTGCTCTTGAGAAGGAGCAGCAGTGGCATAGAATTGTGCAAGTATGAGTATTTCATTTTTTTTCTCCTCTTCCTCTTCTTCTTTGCACTATCGTTTTGTAAGTACATCCAACAGGGGGGAAAAAGTGAGAGAGAAGATTGTAGGCATATAGTAAGGGGAGTTCTACTCTGGAAAAGGGTAGCATTGCAGATACTATGAACTGATTGTAACATCAGTTCACTTTCATCCTGTAACTGTATTCTAACAATTCTTGTTCAGAAAATTAATCAATGGCTTTAATATCCTATTTAAGGTAATTAAATGGATGCTGAGCAAGGGGCAGGGGACCACAATGGGAACATATGGTCAACTGATTCGAGCTTTAGATATGGATCACAGAGTTCAAGAAGCACACGAATTCTGGGAGAAGAAAATTGGCTGTCATCTGCACTCAGTTCCTTGGCAATTATGCCATCTCATGATAACAGTATATTACCGAAACAACATGCTGGAGGATCTTGTACGGGTAAGCTTCCTTTGTGAAACTTATCGTGTGTTTGAGAAATAATATCATGTTATAATTTATGGTCTTTGTCTGCATTTTGTTTTAATAATGGAGAAAAGATACAGCATTATGATACATTGGTTTCGATTCTTCTCCAATTAAAGGTGCTAGTGCTATTATTGGTGATATGAGATAATTTCTTCGAATTTGAAGCTACAATAGTACCGTATGCATTTACTTACTGCTGCAATGTCTTGGATTTTGTCTGCCTTGAACTCTGTTGATTGTTTGAGAGGAGTACTAGCAAGTTATCTTGATCTTCTAAGGACGTTTATGTATCATAAGAAGTGGAATTGCGGTTGATGAGAGCTTAAAGTTAATTGGGAACAAATGTTTTAAGGGCCCCTCAAACTAATCCACAGATAGCTAAAGCCTACATGTGGAAGGCACCTTTGTTAATTTATGGCTATTTTATTTATTTTTTTGGTGAATGATTTTTGGCTCTTATCTTTGCTTATTTAGCCGACATAAAAACATTACACTAAAACCTAGGTTTCCTGTTGTGTCTTTGTTTAAAAAAAAGCTTTTCAAGGAACTCGAAGCCTTTGACCGCAAGCCTAGGGATAAATCTATCATTCAGAAGGTGGCAAATGCATATGAGATGTTGGGCCGTGTACAAGAGAAAGACAGGGTACTGGAGAAATATAGCCACGTCTTCAATGAGGAAAAATCCAGAAAGCAGCGCTCTGATAGAAAAAAGATTTCGTTTTCTTCTGAGAAGGGACAGCACTAGTGGCCTCGTCTGACCAAGAGCAATCAGATAGTCTCAGCTGATGATTCGTTTGAGGTATAGAGGAGTGCATGAATACTTTATATCAGTATTTCTATATAAATAATGAGGAAGGTTATTATTAAAAATATACTACCTCCGGTCCTAATTATAAGAGTTAGTTGACTAATTTGAGAAGATTAAGAAAATAAATTCAATTAGTTATTAATAAATATGTGTTGTCTTTCCTAAAATATCCTTACTAATCAAGTGTATTGGCTATAATTACTAATATTAGAAGGACTACATTTGGAAAAAATTCATAAATATGAGAGACAAAGTGGATTGGGGTGTTATATTTAGAATTAAAATAGAAGTCAAATAAGATCTTATATTAAAGATTGGAGGTAGTATATAACACTTAATTAAAGAAGTCAAATAGGTGGTTTATGTTGATAATTGATATATGACAGACAAATCACTGCTTTTCGTTTTTCCTTCTTGCAAAGGAGTGGTAGACTAAATGACTGAGGTAGAGCAGAGGTCCGTCCCTGATTCCAGTTTGATTTCGACAGAAATGCATTTAAGTTTGTTGAGACGGATCTGATTCCCAGTTTTTTCACGGTCTATTGTAGCGTATGAAGAAAGATCCTGAGAGGGCTGTGCCTCTGTACCTTGGAGTGAAATCTCATGATTAAGGGTGGAATGTCACAATTATGAAAACGAGTGAATTCTGAAGTTGTTGGATGTGAGGTGCAACTTCTAAATGAGGACATATTTTTGAAAAAGAAAAATACATTTCTTATATATCTATTGTTTTTAATTAATTTTAACAGTTTTCTTAAATCATGTAATCTGGTTATTTGGATCTTATAATTAAAAAAAGACCATATTCCTTTAACTTTTACATTAGAGGAAATAGAAGATTTTTTTTTTATTAGAAAAATAGTGGTACGCGCAAATAAATGAGACAAAAACTGTGAAATTACACAGTCAAGAGACTAAATTAAAAGGGATTTGAACTTATTACTCCTTAACTCACCCAATTATATGTGACCAGCAAGTCATTAATATTTCTTGAATGTAATACACAAATTGTTATATAAAAGATAAAGTAACTTCTATTGAGCTTTTCATTTTAGCAATGCTTACGTATCAACTCATTAAGAAAAACTTGTTAATAATGCCTTTCGCGCTGTTAAGCCTGTCGCAACGTTAACGCCCACTTATTAACAATACTTGTTTTTGTATATTTAATAAAATTAAGAGAAGGTAATATATTTTGCCCTTAAATTCAATCTGCATATTACCGTCTTACTATTTTTATCATTTTTATGATGGCAAAAATTTTTTTATCATTTTTAAACCGCATGCATATTCATTTAAATTTTAACTTTAAGACATTATTTTTACGAAAGAAAAATATAAAGTGGAAAAAATAACTGTTTAAAAAATAGAAAATTTTTTCCTTTGCAGTTTACATATCGGTGGTCCGCAAACAAGGTTGTGGTTAGAATTTTGAAAGTTCCTTGAAGCCGTCGCCGTCGAAAAGCCTTACTCCAAGCCTTTCCTCAGATCCGCTCTTTTTTCCGGTCTGAGTTTTAGCTTTCGGGGTTTTTTTGGCCCAATCTACATTTCCGTGTTCCTGTCTGTTCAGTATATCCCAATACAGAGTTAATTGCAGCCAGCATCTCAACTGAGGAAATTGCATTCTACCTTGGGATTAAGTGCCCATGAACATTTTTACATGAGATGAGACGAAACTTGCCTCTATTTTGAAAGGCTACAATCACTATTCTAAAACAAGCCCTAAGTAAATCCCAATCAATAGACTTGTGCTGTGCTTATTGATTTATTGTGCCACGTATACTGATGTTAACTTTTAGTGAAACTAATTTTTGCCGTGTTAGCAATTATAAATTAATTTCTAATGCATCCAGCACTCTAAATATTCTGAAATTTAATTAATTTAGAATAGTGAGTGTTGCAGAAAAAAATATTTTACAGTGCTAATAAGATAAAAATTTTCTTGACAAAAAAAGAAGGGGAGGGAGCATCTCATCTCTGAAACGCCGCCATTCGGGGGAGATGAGCATTCAATGAGCAGGGAATGCGGATTCTTCGGACCACCAGTTTCAAGTCACATTGAATGGAGCACACGCGCACACAAATCAAACAAAACTCAAGAAAGAATCTCATTTCACCATCGCTCCCACCGTTCCCAGGTAAATCAACATACATGTAATCCATTCAATCCAGCTGAGTAAAAGATGGAGACTTCATAGACAAATTAGGAAGTGAATAGACCGAAACTGAATGGTGCGGGTTCGTCATATAATGTTTTATGAGACGAACCAAAATTACTGGACTACGATGTGTTGCTTACAAATCGGTTCTTAAATCTTAAAAGAGAAAGAAGGAAGAATGATCTGAAACCAGTGGCAACCACAATGAACGGCCACAACGTGGATTTGTTACAATATATTCTCATGATTTATTCAGGCATTGTACAAAGGAAGAATTGCTTTTTAATTTTTTCAAATCTAGCAATATTTTTAAACCTTGTTCTCATGTGGAACATAGTAGTATCTTCACAATTCATTCAGGTCATGCATGGGGAGCATTTCTTTCTTTTTATTATAAACTATTAACCGCAATGTACTACTCAACATAATAAACACAGTAAACAAGTGCAATGTAACGTAAAAAGCCAATTAAGCACAATACTAACGTAGTAAGGTGCAATCCTCTATCTCCCCCCCCCCCCAAAAAAAAAAAAAGTGCAATCCTCCCGCGGGACGCGCCAGTTATGACAGAATAAAAACAGTAAACACATCAACAGATGGATGAGTCATGTCAGATGGATTCAAACCAAATAAAGATTCAATAAAATCAAAACTTCTTGAAAAAAAGTCGGCCCATTTTGTAATTTGCATGGTAACTATATTACTGAAAACGCAATTTATAACTTTGGCAACTAAGGCGCATGCTTTTGGTTACTGATATTCATGCTTCATCTTATTTTCTCAATATATAGACATTTGCATAACAAATCCTTACCCAAGCTATATCCATGGCTCAAATGTTACAGAATCAGGCAATCAGTCACGCTCATTATATCAAAAGATGCCCAAAAATCATAAGAAAACCAAGTATATGGCATAAGTTACACGCAATAAGACGGATTTCTCTAGATTTAAACTTTAGTTTGCTTACATACTTCAGTTGAGATGCCGGATTCCCCATACTAATTGTAAGGAACTTTACGAAGGCACCAGCGCCTACCATGAATCTCAGACAAACTCTTGCATCTCCGTCTCCCGATACTTAAAATCAAAGGTCAATAAGATAATGGTAAGTTATAACCCAAGGAACCACATCATTGCATTTCTCGAAAGGGAAACAAACCTTCATTGCGGCGCTTGATTACCCACCTCAACATCTTACGTAGCAATTTAGAGGCAGTTCTTGATCTCATGATTTGAATTACCTAAGGATAAATGGCCATAACTAACTCCATTTAACTGTGACTAAAGTCATTTAAATGCAGTTAGTTATGGCACACTTATCTGTAGGTTCTGCCCTGACTGCTCACGCCTCTCGTAGATAGCAGCAGACTAATACTTCATAGCACACACATTATTCGGAAACTGGCTGCGCGTAAGGAGCATGCGATCGACGAATCGAACGCATCTTGGTTTCGATTGAGATTAGGGATTGAAGTCATGAGGAGCATTTTAAGAGCGATTCCTGGGCTCATGGTTTAAATATCATCCATTAATCAGGCGCCATAACTAACCAGAACCAAAGTAATCTAAACGACATCAGTCATGGAACCTTAATGAATGAATCATTTACCCATGAATTATTTATGGAGGTGAAGGAAGGAATCGATCGTATCCAAAGATTTGGTGAGTGGGGTTAAAGATAAAAGTTTGCAGGTGAGAAGGAAAATAAACCCCCGGGGGGGGGGGGAATCTAAGGAAGGGAATAACCTAGAAGATACATTGAAAGCAGCGGCTAGAGTTCAGATCGGAGAAAAGAGTGAGTTCGACGGCGCAGAAAATTCATCGCCAGACGGAGATGAACTTTTGCATCAGGGAAAAGGAATCTGATGAGAGAAAGGAGAGTTGAATTTCTGGCGGCGAGAGTTAAATACTGAAACCTGATGCAACCCCTATCTAACCCTAGGCTTGCTGACGGGCCTTTCATACCGCAAACACCACTGTTTTTAGGCCTTTTTCCCCCGCCTCCCTAGAGCATAGTTAATCATTTTATTTTATTTTTTCCACTTATAGTTTATGGTTGATGCCCGGATCGTCTCAGACACCTAGAAGAATCTGTGTGTTCAAATCGTTTAAATTTAAATTAAATTAAGCAATGTACTTTAGAAATGACTAAAATGTATATACATTTGGTTCTTTAATTTATACAATGGTTCAATTTAGCCTTTTAACTTTAAAAAGCATACGTTTGGTTCTTTAACCGTAAAATTATTAGGTTTCAATGATATTTTTTGTGACAATTATTAATGTTTTGAAAATTAAATTTAATCTGTTAGCATTTGAAAATATTTTATCAACATTTAATATATTAATGTTATCGTCTTTTTTAAAAAATTTAAAGTTAAAGGACTAAAAATATATTTTTTAAAATTAATTAATCTAATTAAAATTTTATACAAAATTAAAAGGCCAAATACATACTTCAGTTTTTAGAAATTTATGAATAAAGCCCACTAATATTTGACTTAGGTAAACCACATACCTGCTTTATAGGAAAAATATGATACAAGGTGAGTTCTTCTTTTTGGGCCTAAGATACAAGGTGAGTTCGATCCCCTCATATTGTGGGGATTCCCTTTATGTATCCATTATACAAATTTTCAAACAAAGTATCAAGGGAGTTTGGCAATCCGCGTTTTGCGATAATATTATAAACCCATTTAGGCTAACCATACCTGCATTATAAGTTTAATAATATTATTCTTTTTGAGTAGACGTGCCGTTTAAATAAAGGGTTAATACAAACTTTGGTTCCTCAAGTTTATTCTCATTTTGGTTTTGGTCCATCAAATTTCAAACCATAGGTTTTGGTCCCTCAAATTTCCTTACATATAAAATATTGGTCCCTATAATCCAATAAAAACTTGGACCATTTTGCCCCTTGAGGGACCAAAACCTATGGTTTGAAATTTGAGGGACCAAAACCAAAATGAGGATAAACTTGAGGGACCAAAGTTTGTATTAACCCTTAAATAAATGTAGAAAATATATACTCCTCCGGTCCTCAATATAAGACCCATTTAACTAATTTGATTAGATTAAGAAAATTAGGTAAGTTAGTTAATTATAAAAAAAGTGACACATTTTTCCTAAAACACTATAATTATCTTTCTTAATACCCTCTCTTCCTCTTCTACTTGATTATGATTAAGGGAATATACATAGGGGTAATTTAGAAAAAACTGATAAATATAAGAAATGGGTCTTATATTTAAGATCAAAACCAACTCAAAAATTGGGTCCTATATTAAGGACGGGAAGAGTATCATCATCATCATTATTATTGGCGGGGTGAAATGTTGGAAGATGATTTGAAACTGTACGAAGTAAACACCCCGAAATGACCACACACAAAACACAACCTGAACATGAAGCTTTTGGTAAATAAGAATAATGAGATTTTATTAAATTTGAAGCTTGCCTTTCGTGAAAATCAGGGGCAAAAGAAGGTCAAATTTTGTAGTTGGAGTATGGCCAGATCTACTCCATAAAATCAATTGAGTTGGAGTATTCTTATTGGATAGAATTGGGATGAGTTGACACTTTGAGATTATCCAAGTATTTCTCCTTTGAAAAATAGTCAGGATAAAAATCAATTCTATTAATCCAGTGTATAAATACAATGCTAAGGTATGCAAGACGTGCGATCACATCACAACACATCAACGGGTGATAAGTTGTGTCAGAATAAACACATCAAGAGATGCATTGGGAACGGGCCGGATTCAAACCAAATAAAAATTCAGTAAAATCAAAACTTCAACAAAATTCAGCCCATGTCGTCTTGCATGGTTGATACAATACAAAAAGACCCAAGCTTTTGTGCTCATACTAATGCAATTAATCTTCATGCCTCTAAATCAGAAGCTTCGTTATATCTATGGTTCAAATGTTACAAAATCAGGTAACCAGTCACGTTCATCCTATCAAAGATCCCGAAAAATCCCAAGTAAAAAAAAAGTACATGGTCCGAGTTCTACACAATAAGATGAATTTCTAGATTTAAACTTCGCTTAGGTTCCTCAGTTGATATGCCGGATCCTCCATAATTGTAAGGAACCTTGTGAAGAGACCAACGCCTACCATGAATCTCGTAGACAAACACTCGCGTCTCCGTCTCCCTATAATTGAAAATAAAATATCAATAAGATAATGGTAAGCTATAACCCAAGGAACCACTCATATTGCATTTCTCAAAGGAGAACCAAACCTTCCTCGCATCGCTTGATTACTCACCTCAACATCTTACTAAGCAGATTAGAAGCAATTCTTGATCTCATGTTTTCAATTACCTACTGATCAATGGCCATAACTAACTTCATTTAACTGTGACTAAGGTCATTTAAATGAAGTTAGTTATGGCACATTGGTCAATAGACTCTGCCCCAACCGGCAGGCAGCATCAATGATCAACATGCTCGCACCTAATTTTTGTAGATAGCAGTAGGCTAATGTTTCCTAGCACTCGATCTAAAGAGCACGCGATCGGACGAATCGAACGCATCCTTGTATCGATCGGGATTAGGGAGTAGGGTTTGGAATTGATCGAAATTCTCGAGCTCGTGGTTTAAATTGCTCATTGATTAGGCGCCACAACTGAGCTCATCTAACAAGAATTAAAGTCATCTAAATGAGATTAGTTATGGCACCTTAATCAATGAGTCATTCACCCACGGATTATTCATGAAGAAACTGGAAGGCATCGACAGTATCCAAAAAATTGGTGATTGGGATGGAAAGATAACACAGAGGAAATCTGAGAGGAAGGCAAAAACCAGGAAGATATGATGCAAGCCCCGGCAAGAGAGTTCAGATCGGAGAAGAGTGAGTTCGATGGTTCAGAAAATTCATCGCCAAACGGAGATGAACTTTTGGATCAGAAGGAATCTGATGAGAGAAAAGAGAATTAGGTTTTCGGCGGCGAGGTTAGAGCATGATGCAACCCCAATCTAACCCTAGACTTGCATGCTGGGGCCTTTATATAGAAAAGCACAGGTTCTTTTTTTCGCCCCCTCCCGAGTTAAACGGCTTTTTTACCATTTATAGTTTATTCTTGATGCCCAAGAAAATATCGGATCTGATCTGATCAGCTTTGGTATCTAGAAGAATTGATCTGTTTACGTCGTTTAAATTTAAATTACGTTAAACAATAAAAGAATTTAAATTATTTAAAAATCAAATTTATCTAATATTTAATATTTCTAAAGGGTAAAACACTTAAACATTTTTGGGAAAAAATCTGCTCTCATAATTCATAGAACCCAATCAAAACTCCAAACAAGTGAAATTTGTGTAACAAAAATATTTGCCAATAATTCACTGGTACCGATTCGCCAACTTTGGATGACTCCACTTCATTTTTTTTTTGTTGGCCCAACCTGGCTATGTAGTTGGCCCATCAAGTCGCAACCAACCATAATACTTGTTGCAAAACGCATGTCGTTTGTTCTGCCTGAGCTTGAAGTTTCCAAAATTTCAAAGCAAGCCCCTAATAAACCAAGTTATTATTTGTCACTTATAATAATTCTTCACATACTAAAAAGAACATTAAATAGATAAAAAATTTTACTTTCACCCTTCTTAAATAGCTAGTATATTTTTTCCCAACATATTCGCTCTTTAATTTTTTCACATTTATAGTTAATAGGGGTAAAATTAGAAATAAAATATTTTTGGGTACCAATAACAAATTAAAAAGACTAAAGTCTCCTCTTGCAAGTAACAAATGATAAGAACCAGAGTGGTACTTTCACATCACTAGTTGTTTGATTTAGTTTATTTTAAGTAATTTTGCACCTTCCCAAAGTACCCATTCCTCTCCTTCTCTTCCCTCCCTTTTCACACATGCCAAATAAGATTAATTCTTCTTTAATCTCCCTGTCTTATCCCTTGAAAGTTCATCCTACCTCCTAACAAACGCGGCCCTATACTTGTCTCGATTTTATTAATTCATGCTTAATGAAAATATCAATTTTTTAAGTCTCCCAGCGTGTCAATTTTCTTCCTCATAAAATTCATAATATGGGCATGTGTGAGGCTGGGGTCGTTGAGGGTTGGGGCATGTTAGATGAACTACAAACATGGGGCTACACAAACGAAAATGGATATTCGCCTATTTAGATGGAATAGACGAATGTGGATGCATTATAAACAGACAAATACATAATTACTATATGTGTTTCTTTTGTCAACTTCACCCTTTTAACAGACAAAAAAAAAAGAAGCCTACAAAACAGATAAAAATGGATCTTGAATTAACAACGTGACGTTTAAAAAAACATTACCTCCGGTCTTTAATATAGGAATTTGTTTGATTTTTATTTTGATCCTAAATATAAGACTTTAATCCATTTTGTTTCTAATATTTATGTATTTTTTTTTCAAGATAGTTCTTCTAATAATGGTAGTTTTAACTAATACACTTAATTAGTAAGGATATTTTAAAAAAAAAACAATACCTATTTATGACAAATAACTAACTTAACTTCTTTCCTTAATCTCCTCAAATTAGTCAATTAGCTCTTATAATTAGGACCAAGGGTAGTATTAGGAAAGAGGTTGGATGCTAATTGGGTTATACAAGGCCATGATGATAATTTTGATATGGGTCTGATGAAGGCATTTTGACCGCAGAAGAAAGTTTCAAGGACTGAACATATTCGATTGTTGCTGGTGAATAATGTCTGGATTGATGAGATTGGGCAGCCAATAAAATAATTTAGAAGCCAATACTTAATATACGCATCCATCAACAATAATAGCAAATCTAGACAATAACTCTTCTCCAAGAAATGAAGAGAATATCTTGCAGGATGGACACTGTCACCGACACAGAACTCGGATTATGTTGCTCATCAGTAGATATATAAATTATATTGCAACATTAACAAAACACGTCCATATCTTATGCAGTTACAGCATTTTATGTATTCCTTCAGGAGCTAATTAGGAAGTTAATGCTGATCCTGTATATAAGACTTATTTCAAATGTTTATTAATTTTTTTTCAAATTAATTCTATTAATATTTCTCTAACAATAATCAAGCAGAAGAGAGAAAAAAAATTAAGAAAGATGCTTAGATTGTTTTTAAAAGAAAATTCATATTAACTAATTTAACCAACATTCTTAATCTATTCAGATTAATTAATTAGGTCTTATACTAAGGATTGGATGAGTATTTATATATATGTGTGTGTTTGGTACACAGGTCAGGTTGTTTAGATTAATGTCTGATAATTAATTAACAAAGTGGGAATTTGATATATTCAGCCAACGCTCTAGCAGCATCTTTATTATATTGTGGCCTCCGGCCGCCTCAAATTAAAGCCAAATAACTTTATACTAATAATGAAGTCTTTAATTTAACTAAGGAGGCTTTATATGTGAGGACAAATCCCGCAATATAGATGTAGCGCACATCAACCAAGGATAAGGTTGAGCTTCACATAACTTTATTAATTAATTAAATTTCAAGTAATTAAGATTTGACCCAGTTATAAGATTATTTCAGTTCTTTTAGGGAGGGGTGCAACCTAGGAAGTCGTCATTACGTGTAAACGTTGACTCATACGAAGACACATGAACTGCCCATCCAACCACGGATGTTGTCACTTTTGTTTTTGAAAAAACCATTATTGTTGGACTAACTGGGAAATGAGTTTCAGTACTCACTACAGTAATGAGTATTATGATGCTTATAATTGCAATAAAATTTAAATTATTCAAAATCAGTTTTAATGGTTTATATTTAAAATGTTCAACTAGTGATTTTTAAATAAAAAATTTATTTTTTTAAAAACATATAGTTAAGATATTACATTTATTTTGGATTATTTACCTATTAAAAGAAAAATATTTTTTAAAAAAATTTTAAATAGTAAATCTCAGCTATCCATGTTAAATTTGAATGGTTGAAATTTGATAAGTAATTGAGTATCCTCATCACTGCCATGAACACTGAAACTGGTGGTTCCAGCTAACTTGTGACTTAATTGATATTATTATTTACTATACAATTAAAAAAATCTAATGAATTATCTATATATATATATTATGAATCAGATTTTAAATATGTATTACTCTTTTAGTTTTAAATTAAGACCCATTTTACAATAAGTTTTATATTTAAGATCGAAAGAATTTATTTTAGTTATGTGTGTTGGGGGGAGGGGGTTTGGGATTTTTCTACGATTAGTCCAACGAAGCTACAGATATCAACATTCACGAGTTGGCCTTTCATAATTTAAAGCCATGTATTATCTTTCGGTTATGATGAAATCCTTGGCTTTCTTACCAACCAAACAATCATTGCCCATCAGCATCTGGCTATATGTGATTTGCCATTTTCTCAGACTTTCTTCTTTCATCATTCTTCTTCTTTAAAGTGTAATTAAATTCAAACACGATGAGCAGCAACACATCGGAGCCTGATGATGGCTCCTCGGCAGACTTAAACGGATATGCCTATTACTCCTTCGGACTATCCGTCGCAGTTGTTCTTCTCTTCGCATTAATCACTTTCCTCTTGTACTTGTACGCCCGCAGAAACGCCACCATCAACACATCTCAACTATCACCAGATTTCACCCCCAGCTTTCGCTTACAGACCGTCGGAGATTCGAATCGTCTGCAAGTAGGTGTGGATGAAGCCACCCTGAAGAGTTATCCGGTGATGTTATACTCTGAAGCGAAGCGCCATCGGAAGTGTGATTTGGCGGCCACTTGCTCGATCTGTTTGGGGGATTACAATGAAAGTGAGTGGTTGAGGGAGTTGCCGGATTGTGGTCACTTGTTTCACCGGAAGTGTATCGATATGTGGCTGAGGATGAGCTCTTCGTGTCCGCTGTGCCGGACCTCGCCGCTTCCGACGCCGGTTTCAACTCCGCTGGCCGAAGTTGCTGTCTTGGCAAGATCAGGGGCTTGAGTTTATTGGAAGGTGTTGTTAAGTTACTTCAATTAATATTGATTTGTCTTTTTCGCAGTATTGCGTTGTGTAATGTAATTGGACTTTTGTTGGCTCGGTGTGTTTTTTTTTGGTTTCCGCTAGGCAGTAACAGTTTGAAGTTATAATTTACAATGAACCCACAACCTTCCATCGTTAAGGAGAGTTTACAGGCCACTATAAGGCTACTAGCTAATCCCTCCATTACTTTGTTATGAGAAGGGAAATCCAACTCTTTTTTCCCCTATTTCGCGCACACGTGTGTAGGGGCTTATTATGGGTATTTTTGGGGGTGAAGGAGAAGTCTTTAAAAAAAAAACAGAGAGAAGTCTTAGGTTTTATACTTTATACGATAATGATGCATTAAAATAACATATGTAAAGATAACTATTATAAATATAAATTCTAATTGAATTAATATAACTTTTTGTCCTTAAAATTTAAGATGTTTGGTTTTGATTTCTCAAATTTCAAACCTATAATTTTAACTTTTAAAATCTAGTTTGTTTTAAAATGTTAGTCCTCAAAGGTATAACAATTTTAAAATCTAGTATAATGTCATAAATAGTGTAAAGTGGTGATATGGATTCAGTAGACAGCACCTAGTTGAAAATGGGGAAAAAGAATAGCTCCTCAAAACAAGGCGCCCCATTTTTTTATTTATTGTTGTTTGTTTTAGAAGCTGTTCACTGAATTGCATTCTATATCTACATAAGAGTAAGATAGATCCCATCTGATGAGTCCACATTATTACTT